CCCCCCCCCCCCCCCCCCGGCGGCACCATAGGCACAAAGGGAGGGCCCACCGCGAAGATTCTTCGGATGAACAACACTGCTGCAGCGCACCAAGCAACAGCAAGAAGAATAGATACATAGGTAGATGGATGGAAGGCTGTACAAGAATTTGGACGACGAGCGGGACGAGGACGACGCCAGCGGCCACCCTTTCCCTCGTGGGGTTGGTTTTCTGTTGTTTTTGTTTTTTTGGGAGTTTACTCTTTTCTTTCAGAATTAGCATCTTTTTTTTTTGTCGTTTCACGTTCCAGATAGTAAGAAAGCAGTAGGTCACAAGAAACACGGCAGGCTTCTCGTCGAGTGTAGCAATGTTCGGGTCTTGTGTCTTCTTGTCAAGGCGTAGGAAGAGGAATGTTCCCACTATCGATGCCAACGCAGCAATCTGGAGGTGTGGTAGAGCGCCGTGAATTCACCCCGTGTTGATGTTCTCGAGTGTTGCAAGGTTGGCTTATGGCGATGCTGCCTCGGAACAAAGGGGCAGTTTTGACGATGCAATAGGGGTGAGGCTCATTGAAGACATACAGTGGGGGTCCCGGTTTTGTGCTGGCACGTGCCCTGAAAATTCATCGGCACCACATACAATACCGGACCGGCTCGATTCAAAGTGCCGACAATGACTTGGAAATTCGGTGTGTGCCCGCCAATAACCCGGGCACTATACCGGGGCATTGGCACTGTTCAACCGGCACTAAAGAGGGCACCCTCTGTGCTCCGTTCTTGTTTGCTGGCTCCTTTTTTGTTTTGGGATCTTCGACATCTACAAATTGCGCCTCACAGATGGTTTAGCTAGCCGTAAGGAGGAAGTTCGATATGCGACACGGTTATCGCGCAACAAGCATCGGTCTCACACTTGCAGTCTACTTTTGTGTACGGTAGACGAAAACAAAACAAACTTTCAACAAGAACGCACGTGCAGAGGTACAAGGACGTCGGAGACATGTGAAGAAACATCTCAGCGTTCAGCATTCACTGCTGCTGTCGTACGCCACTTTTGTGAGGCGTACCGACAGCATGAATGGCCTTCTCCCGAATGTGGCACGGGCGTGACGCATAACACGACAAAGTCGTACGTGGGTCCCGTTCTGATATCGAAAACGCGGGTGGTCTTGGCATTACAGCACACACGGAGAGGGAGAAACAAAATGACGAGACAAGCGCTAGATGATCGGCATTGCCCTCTCCAGCCTTACCTCGAACTGCTCCCAACCGCTTTTTTCAGAACAACGATGGTATTTATTCCAAGCCACGCCCAGGCTCAAAGCGCCCAACTCCTCTTGAGGCTCGGCCTACGAGTCACACGAAAATCAAATGAATTGTACAACACCGGTTCAGACTACAACTGAAAAAGCAGAGGCAGACACACACCACCCCAAAACTGCCGACATTCTTGACAATAGTAGCTGTACCAATCGCCCACCTCTCTCCCTCCCCAACATTTTTTCGTGGGAAAATTCTAACAAATTTCGTTTGTACACGGTGTCAATAAGGGCAACATTTTTCACCGACACCACCCAACCATACACAACCTTGCCGCACGCCTCTCCTTAAGTCTTCTGGGTTCGTTTCTCTCCTCCCCACCGCTATCTACATAAAGTACCATCCCGCGCTACGCACACAGCGCCGTTTCGCCCCGCCGCCGTCCCCGTCGCCCCAGGACGCCTCTTCTTTTTCTTCTTCCGCTGCGATTGTTCTTCTCCTTCGGTTTCCCGCTCCCCGCCCCGGGCCCGTCTTTTGACCCCCCCTCTGTCGATAAACGTTATCCCTCGGGAGTCGAGGTAGGAGGCCAGGTCCTTCTTCGTGCACTTCACCCCGGCGTTCTTGATTAACGTGTGGATGGCGGACAGATCCACAGTCTGAGACAAAAGGGGGGAGGGTATCGGCGTCGTCGACGGATTGGCGGCGGGGCTTAAAACCACCCCCCTCCCCCTAATGTGGGGATCACTAAGATGGCTGAATTATGACCTGAAGCGCGACTAGATAAATAGTCCCGGACGGAGCATACTAAAACACCGAAAAAGGGAACGGGCGGCGAGATATTCATTTGAAGTATTCGTTATTTTTTGTGCCATTCAACAACAGAGATCGACAGCAGTAGTCACGAGGGAACGGCAGTCGTGTTGCCGCCGCCGGGGCCACGCACGCCAAGATGCAACACACCACAACGCTTTCAACCCTTTGCAGTAAAAAAAAAAAAACGCGAGCCAGAGAGAGGACGGCGGTGTCAAAACACCAGTCAGGCCACTTCGTTGCCCACACGTGTTACCACTTTACCTGGTCCCCATCAACGCCACAGGCAAAAAGAAATAGGGTGCCGGCAGGTTCTGTGTCCCATGGCGAGGGCCGGTAGTTTCTACCATATTTACACATCAACACTCGCACTCTGCTTACCATGGACTCACCTTAAGGAGAAGAATATCCTCGTGGAGTGGTGCGTATCCCCTGTGCAACACCGCCGGGAAGGCAGACGAGCCGACGGGGGCGGGGGGAGGGGGCGACAGAATATACTTGTGGAGACTAGTTGGTTCATGTTGTAGAAGGGAAACGTGGGTGGTACACCTTTGAATCCGTCGTCGAAGAAACGTCAGCGGGTCACCTCTAAAAAATGGAACGACGCCTGTAATTAAACATGGGACAACCGCTCTCCTTCCAAATACACTTGTTGACGTTACCTCGTCGTTCTATGCCCCCCCCTCGTGCCGATGGTCTATTAACGAAGGCACGCACAACAATAGTACACCCTCCCGCCTCCCTCCCCCCCGCCGCGCGAGTGCCAGAATTCTTACATGATTACGCTGCGTATTCTCTCCCCGAGGTCCGCGTCGACCCCGTTCCTCCCGCTGCTGTTCTCGGCAAGAAACCCTTGCTGCTGCTGCTGCTGAGACCTGCACGTCGATGGAATCGGGGGCACCGCCTCTTCTTCCTGCGAAAACCCACCCCGCCGACTATCACCAGCACCCGGGACGCCACCACCTCGGGGTGGCCTGGGGAGCTGTTTCGAAAGGGGTGGCGGACCAGCCCGCAGGAGGCGCAAAACGAAAACAGACAATACAAGGCACCGTAGCATCATCGACGAGAAAAGGCACAGCAGTATCATCGGGGCCATCGCGACATTCACATTTCCATCCGAATGGTCCTTTACTGTCAAACAGAGTTGATACTCACAACAAACTTGTTTTCTCTTTCGCAGCAAGCAGCTGGCTTACCGGGGGGCGCCGTGGAATGCTTGTCGATGACGTCACCGTCACCGCCGCCGCGGCCGCCGCCGCCGCCGGCGAAGAGGTGGGCCTCGCCTCTGCCGCCCCCCTGCTGCGCCGATGACCTTGGGAAGACGCCGACAGATAAGCAGAAGGGTCGCCACCGCTATCCCGAGACGGCGCGTCTCGCTTTCTGCTTCTGCTGGACGACGACGATGACGACGACGAAGACGTCGCGTTTCCGTCCCCTGCCGCAGACATGCCTTCTTCGGCGGCGGCGGGGTGCAGGGTCTTCCAGATGTGTTCCAGGCGTTCCGTCATCTCCCTAGGGATTACAGGGGGTTGGTGGTGTCGAAGGGGCGTTTGAAGCACAAGAAGGGTATGTGAGGGAGGAACCTCGAAACGGAGCGTCACTGCTGGTATGTACCAACAGTGTCACTGCACCCTCGAAGCGATTTCTTGCGGAGTTTCTGTTTGGCAAAACAATACGAGCATATGCGCTAAGCCTTGCTGTTGGAAATACACAACCTTCGGGGAAAATACACATGACGAGACCGAAGGAAGGAGAACCTTAGTATTCTGAAAATGTCTTCTGGAGACGGAGCACTGCTAGTACCCCTGTCGGACACCCCTACCGACATGCGAGTCTCCTGCGACGATAAAATTCCTGCAAATGAGTGCATTGCACCGACGATAACCTCACAACGAGGAGGCGCGAACAAGAGGCACACGAACCTCTTAGACTTCTTCTTCAGCCCGTACACCGCCATCATCCCGGCCAGCTCCTGGAGCGTCATCTGCCCGAACGAAGGCATCACCTCCCGCAGCTCGGCAATGTCCTCGTTCCCCCCTACGGCAGTCGGAGACGAAGCCCCCTCCTCTCCTTCTACCGGAGGGGATGACGGTGTGCAGTGATGCCTGCGCCGCGCCGTCGCCGGACTTTCAAGTCCGCGATGTTGCGACCGACCCCGACCAATAGGCGATGTCGCCGCTGCCGCGTCTAGAGACTCACGGCAGCGTCTCAGCGACGGGGACGGCAGCGGTGCTACCTGCGTGAGATCCAACAGCTCGGCCCCCATCGCCGACGTCGAATCGTGCGAGACTTTGTCAGCGGCAGCAGCAGCGGGGGGATCGATATCGGGGGGCCGTTGTGTCGGCGAAAGCGGCGGTGACGGTGGCGGTGGCGGCGGCGGCGGCGGCGGCTGCCGCTCGTCGGCGACACCGTCGATGTCGGGTGAGGGAACAAACGACAAGTCGTTTTCGTCACCCCAGGCGCAATAGTCATGGTCGTCGAAGCCGTACTCGTCTTCCAGGGCGTACTCGTCGACGACGTCGTCACTGTCACCGCTAGCTTCGCCTCTCTCGTCGGTTGAGTCCGGGCCATTGGCGCCACCTCCGCCACCGCCGCCTCCGCTGTCGATCATCGCAAACTCGACATCTTGTTCCTCTTCTTCCTTCCTTTGGCAATTCCTCACGCTTGCCGTTACGCCTCGGTGGGACTTCCGCCTACTACTGGCAGCATCATTGGCTCCACCTCCGCCGCCGCCACCGCTGTCCACGATCGCAAACGTGCGATTTTCCTCGTCCTCCTCGTCCTCCTCCTCTTGACCATTCCTTGCCCTTGCCGTGACGCCTCGGCCGGAGTTACGACCGCCACCGTCAGCACCGACCGGGAACTCTGCTAACCCTGCCGCGGCAACGCCACCGGCGGCGGCGGCGGCGGCGGCGGCGGCGGCGGCGGTGATGTCACCGGCGGAAGAACAACGCTTGCTGGACTCCGAGCTTGTGAGGTCGAAGGTAACCACCGCTGACGCGGTGGAGTCGCCGCTGAGCACGATGGCCTCCACGCTGCTGTCTCCGTGGTGGGGGTGCCCAACGCTCTGCGTGCCTGCGTCGCCGTCGTCTGTTCCAACAGCAGCAGGCTCGGCGTCATGGCCATTATTCTCAGCGGTGGTGGCGTGCGTCTCTTCGAGCCCCGTCGCCTCATCGGCAACCGAAAGGTGATCTCCACTCTCGCCGTCAACTCGGGCTTGACCTTCACCGTTTTCGCTGCCGCCGCCGTCGTATCTCTCGCTCCCTCTTTCCTCCGGTCCTTCTAACGCGAAACCACTATCTTGCACGCTATTCGCACCACCGCGGGGGGGGCTATCGCTTCCAGGTGTTACGGCGCCACCGCCATTTCTACCAATACCGACACCCTCACTCCCACGGCGCCATGTCTGCGGGGACCCTACTTCGAACCCCGGACTGTGGCTGCCATCATCACGGCGTCGTTCCTCCCCCAAAAAAGCCAACTGCCTACTACAAGCCGGACCCCTCGCTTCCAACGCCTCGAGAATAACGCCTTCGAAGAACACCAACGCCTCTGCCTTCCTGCTTCTCCTACGAACATCACTAGGGCGCCCCTCCGTACCCCCCCCCCCCCCCCCCCCCCCCCCCCCCCCCCCCCCCCCCC